TTACAAGACCAATAAAGAGAGAGAGAATGAAAAACTCGGAGAAATAATCTTTTCCCTTTGAAAAGTTGATGATTTGATGAAGTTCATTGGAGGTAAAAAACAACTTGGAACGAGTTGAGTTGAGGGAAAAAAATCCATGTTTGATAAGTGTAAAGATAAAGCAAAAGTTGTGAACTTTTTTTGTTACTTTTTTTCAGCAAAAAAAAGTTGAACAATAAACACCTAAACATGGAGAAATGATGAAAAGAGGTTGAAATGTACATTAAAAACTGATGAGGAGAAAAGCAAAAATTGTTAAGAATAATCAACCAACTGTAAATTTTTGGAGAAAAAATAGAAAAAAGAAAAAATGAAAAGTTGAAAGAATCGAGAAAATGGGAAACAAATCAAATGAATTTACACCAAACGAATGATGAAACTGAACAATATTTACACAGAATTTAATCATTGAGAACAATTAGTTTGCTCTTTGATTAGTCTTTTAATTCAATTTTCATTTTTTGTTCCATTCTTTTAATCTGATTAATTGAAGGTGAAAAAAGCAAATTTGAATAAAAATGTTTTCTAATGAAAGAAAAAAAAAGTGTTTCATTGTTGAATCAAAACATTTTTTGTTCATTTAATGACCTTTGAATAGCCATTTCATGTTCAATTTAACCATTCCAATGTGAACTTTTCTGTGTGTTTATTCAACAAATAAAGAAAACATTTCATTAGCGAATCTCGTTGCTTTCATTGTTATCATGAAACAGAAAATTTTTCATGGAATTTATCATTTTTCTTTTTCTCCTCTTCGCCTTTTCCTTTTAATCCTATTAGTTTCACACAAATTCAATCCATCTTCGTTAGATTACCTTTCATTCATGAGAATTTCTTCTCTCGCTCAAATCATCAAGTTCAGTCACGAAAGTTTCAAATTTATTTACATGAAAATCTTTGAAAATGAAGAGTTGAAAAAGATAATTAAAAATGGAAAAAGTGAGATCAAAGAAAGTTCAAAATTCCAAGAATTTGAAATGTTTCTTTTTGTGGTCAGTAAAGAATCATGAAACAAGTTTAGCAAATGTTTCATGTAAATGCAATAATATTTAAGAGAAAGTGTTGAAACGGTGAAAATATTTCGAAATAATCTGAAATAGTTTGCAATTCCGAGCGAAAAGATTTCTTTTTATTGCTACAAAAATTTTCTTGAGAAGTTCAAACTTTCGATTTTCTCTGAAGAGATTTTACAGTGAAAATGAACATGAACATAAACTGTGATTATCTTGAGGAATGGTGGAAGAAAACAATTATCGAAATGCAAGTTTGATAATCCATTTGAATAGTTTCATCAATCACTTTCAATAGATTCTCATACAAATTACAAATCTCGTTATTCCCTGAATTTGCTTATCCTTTCAACTTTTTCCCATTTTTTCAATTGAGATTACAATAAATCTTATCATTCCCTGGTTCAAGTTTATCAAGCATTATTTACTTACTTTTCATCATGAAAAGCAAAAAGGTAAACAAGAACTGGAAAAAGCAAATAAACAATGAGTTTTACCTTAAAAGCATTGAAACATTTACATTTTATATCAATTTTAGTCTCCATTTGATTCTATAAAATATCTATATTTGATAATAAAAATAATGAAAGTTGAATTTTGACTCAAAGAGTGTAAATGGATGAACAAAGAAGGTAAAGATTTTCATCTTAGCGATCAAATTGAACAGTCCAACTCTCGATCAACTGATCTATTAACAGCCATTAACATGATAACCATGATGAGCCTAATCATGGGAAAGAGAAAAGTAAAGAAGAGAATAGAATGTAAAATGGAAATTCATTGATGGGTAGAGTTTTTTTCATGGTTTACCTTTAGTCGCCTTTGTTTGCCCTTTTCCCTGATTTTCCTGGAAAACTGTTGATTCGAGGAAGGAAATTTTGAACCCAAACAAAATGACGAAAAGAGAAGCAAAATTTTTCCATTGAAAGTAATAACTTTCAGTTCCATTGGGAAAAATAATGTATTCAATGTTGCATTATGTTATGATATGTTTGTCTTCTTAGCCTTTCTCCTTCCCTGTGATTAATGGTCTCCATGAAAGATATTAATTTACATGAGAAAAGTTTCACTTTCTTGGTTCATCCATTTCCATTGTTTCCGTGTCCGGATATTATCATCAATATTTTCCCATGTTTTTTCACTCAATTTTCATCTTTCAACTTTTAATGATGAATGTTGATCAAACGAGAAGAGAGCAAAAATGAATGTTGAAAGGTTGCTTTTTCAAGGGAAAATGTTTTACGTGATTTTTAGATCTTTTTTTACAGTCAAAAGATAAACAATGTTTTATGTTATTTGTGTATTTTTGATATCAATGATTATTGTTATTACAGAACTTTTGCCTTCTTGTTCTTGCTTCAATTCATGTTATTGGTATTATACAGTCCTGGCAAAAAGTTTGAGGACACCAGATTTTTGTGAATATTTCAATAAATTGATCCAATTACTGAGATAATCCAATTGTTTTCAAAGGATTATCAATTTTGAAGATATTTTAAATGGGAAAAGCTCCGACTTAGCAGACTAATTAGTGTCAATTGGCTTAAAAATCAAAAACATGTTTTGTGCATATGGCAAAAATTATGAGGACAGAGATTAAATTGCTTTCAGATTGGCACCAGATGGAAATTTAGGGTTAAAAACGGTCAGAATTTCTCAGATAGCTTCATTTATTCAGTATCCTTCTCCTAATTTGCTAGTAAACTTTCATTTTTCGAGTTTTTTTCGAGTTTTAGTGATTTTTCATTAAAGTTATATAATGGGCTCTGGAAATAAGTTAACAAGTGAAGAAATAGGTGCTATTAAAGCCTATCATGATCAAGGACTATCGTTGAGACAAATTGCTGAAAAAATTGGTAGATCGAAGACTGTAGTAAGCAATTGCCTCAAGTTAGGTGAAGAATATGGTGCAACGCCGAGGTCTGGACGCCCAAAAAAGTTATCAGATCGTGATTGTCGACGGATTTTGCGAATGTCATCTGAAGGTAATCATTCGTGCAATGATATTCTGAAAGAAACACAACTTCCAGTTTGCCGAAGGACTGTTTTAAATGCGATTCAAGATTCAGGATTCATGGAATACGAATCAATGGATCATCGTCCAAGATTGACCGAAAATCATATCAGTGCCCGACTCGATTTCGCCAAAAAACACATGAGCTTCGGTGATAAATGGATACAAGTTGTGTTTAGTGATGAAAAAAAATTCAACCTTGATGGTCCTGATGGACAGAAGTGCTATTGGCATGATATCCGAAAGGACAAAAAGATATTTTCGAAGCGAAATTTTGGAGGTGGTACGCTGATGGTGTGGGGAGCTTTTTGTTTTAACGGTGTTTTGCCATTAGTGAGAATATCTACGAAGATGAATTCTGAGGATTATCAAAAGGTTCTGTCTGAAAATCTAATTTCAAATGCTCCATCATTGGCTGGGAATGAATGGATTTACCAACAAGATAATGCTCGAATTCACACTTCGAAGTCATCAATGGAGTTTTTTCGGCAAAACAATGTGCAACTATTGGATTGGCCATCATGTTCACCCGATCTGAACTCTATTGAAAACCTTTGGGGCTTGATGGCGCAAAAAGTTTACAAAAATCAGCGACAATTTCGAACTGTTGATGAACTTTGGGATTGCGTTCAAGAAATCTGGTACAACATGGATCCAAGTTACCTACAAACACTCATTAGGTCTATGGACACAAGAATTTTTGAAGTGATTAAGGCTAATGGATCGCAAATCGATTATTAATTGTTTTTAATTTCTGTCCTCATAATTTTTGCCATGCGCAAAACTAATTTTCTCAAATTTTCTTATCTAATTTATTTTTTTCCTCTAATTTTTTTTAACTTAAAATACGTAATTTTGCATCGACTTTCAATTGATACTAACCAGTAAACAAACAATCATTTCATAGAAAAGTTATTCAAAAAAATCTGGTGTCCTCAAACTTATTGCCAGCAGTGTATTCAGTTGGAATTAATGTTGTATTATAATTGTGAAAAATGGCTGCAACATTATTTACCTTTATCTGAGTAAAGATAATTTTTGTCAGCCTTTTTGGTCTCCCATTACTTTAAATGAAACCTTTTGCTTTTAATGCCTTTTCTTACCATTTTCATCCTTCCAAGTTTATGCCTTTGTTTACGGCTGGAAAGTCAACCAATTGGCTGATAATTTTCACTCGCGTTTTGACCAGAATTGATCAGTTGATTAGATAGTTTTGTTTCATTTTTTGTTACCTTCGTTTCTCTCATTTCTCTGAATAAATGATATATTTTATTAAATTATTGTGAGTCTGTTTTATCATAAATGCAAGACTAAAAAGTGTTCGAGTAAACCTAATCATCATTACCTTTCTATCATTGAAGGTGACTTTAATTGACAGTTGAGTTGCACTTGAACCATGTTGATAACTATTTACTTGTTACACTAATCTGGGGTTTATCAAGAATTGAATCAATTAATGTCAGACAATTATTAATGATGCGTTCATCTTCAACAATTGTTTAGTTACAAAATTGTATGTTCAAAAATCGAAGTAACTTTTGAAGATAAAACAAAATCAAAGTCACAAGTTCATCATTTGGATCAAGCCATAGAGACTTGGCTATTGACTTCAGTTACAAAGCTTGTTCAGAATAAGATTTTCAATTGTTAAAAAGTATCACAGAAATAAGAATTAACAATTTACTAACAGAAAGATGATTGAGAAAATATTAGTCAAATGAAAATTCATAGACGATGACTTTAACTCTCCATATGCAAAGGACTTCTAATGGTCAGTATAGACTAGAGTCAAGTCAAGCATTTTGACTGGAAAGTTAGTGAACATTTCAAGTTTATGAAGTTTGATTGAATGGTAAATTCAATTTCAAATGGTCAGTCGATCGAAGTTGATAATGAAAAGTGAAATACAAAGGGTTGAACTTTCTTCTCTTGAACAGCTTCCAGTTCTTCAAGAATATTGCCTATCAGCTAAGCAATACTGTCCAGCTGGTAATCCGGGTCCACAAGGACTTACAGGTAAGGCAATCATTTCCATTGGAATTGAGTTTGGAAAAGTTGAAGAATGACAATTTTTACTCATTTTGCAGGAAAAGATTTAGCAAAATATTTGAATTTGTTTCAACTGATAGCTCAGGTTCAAACAAGTTCAACATTTAGCTTAGTTTAATGTTCAACTTTGCTTTGCTCAGTATTTTCATTTCTATTAATACTTGAAGTGCTCATGGGAGTGATGAGATCAAGAATAGCTAAAAGATTTACTTTTTTCTCAGAATTTTTCTTATTCTTTTTATGATAACATTTTTTTTGCCCGAATCTCAATATTATAATTTGAATCTTGATCTGACTTGAATGATTCCATTTTTTTATTGGAAAATAATTTACATTTTAATTTTTTCTTCTTTTCTTTTCTTCTTTAATCAACAATTCAGTTTTTGAATAGTTTCAATTCTCAATAGTATTTTACAAGTTTATCTGTTGAATTTAAATCAAAAGTTTCAAAAGTGAATCAGCTTAAAATACGAATGAACCTGAAAAGTTTTAAACAATTGAATTGAAGATGCAAATAAGAATGATAAAAAAGTAGATTCAAGAATCAAAATTCAAATTTACATGCAAAACTCAAGACAATCAAATTTTTGTCAGTCTCAAGTTTTAGTCTTCAATTTCATATTTTTTTCGTTCTTTTTCATTTACAATTGTCATAATTGTCATATAAATTGATTTGTTTAATTTGAGAGTTTATTGCTTCTTTTTTGTTTTTATTAACAAGTAATCAAATGGATTAAATGTTGAATGAAACAATAAGGTGATTATTATGTGTTGTTGGAAGGATATATAATGTGATTTACATTGAAAGGGAAAAACATTTTTGTCATTAAATGTGATAATAAAGTTAATAAAGTGTAATACTGTTCAACATATTGGTATTGATTGAAGGAAAGCAAAGTGAGTAAAATTTGTTCATCAACAGTTGTAACTTTAGTGTTGTAAAATCAGTGTTGTTATTGCTAATTATAATAACTAAATTATTGTCATTCAATTTTCTTTTTTCCTCGTTTCTCTTGTTTTTCTCAACTCCAAAGGATTTCCTGGTCCAAAAGGTGACAGAGGAGACAAAGGTGAAAAAGGTTATCAAGGTCCAAAAGGACCAGCTGGACCTCAAGGTCTTCCCGGGTTTGCTGGACCAAAAGGGGAACCAGGTAAGTAAATTAACCATTTGCCAAGCCATCAGGATGAAGCATTGCTGAATCTCTGCAAGAAATTCCAGAAAATTAAACAAAATTAGACAAAATTTCCAAAAATTGAACGTGGATGAAGTTGGAGAAAGCATTCATTTTTCTTGCAAAAGATGTCAGTTAAAGTGATATAGCACTTCTCGTTTAGTCGGCTTCTCAAAATGTTTAGAAGAAATCTTAAGCAGTCGTAAAACCAGTAATGTTTAATGAGATATTCAGTCTGAAGTTTCATGAGCCATTATCCATGAGCTATGGTACAGACTTCTTGGGAATTTACATGGGCGTTTATCGATAGTAATTGATGCACTTGCTCTTTCGATCCAAAGGCTTTTATGAATAATGAACACTTCAAGTCTCATTCAAATTCTTGTAATACTTTAAAGGTGAATCTGGCTTGGATGGACGAGAAGGTCTACCAGGTGAACCGGGTCTTGATGGGGTTCCAGGACGAGATGGTGAAGATGGTAAAGATGGTCGTGATGGGCGAGATGGTATTCCTGGTACTCCAGGTCAGCCAGGCACAAATGGAACCAATGGTGAGATACATTTCCATTGATCTAATACGGAGTAACTGAAAACAAGAATAAAAATGTATGAGAAACAATTAGATTGAAACAAAAATTGAAAGTCGACGATAATATTGAAGAGTGAGAAAGAAACCAATTTATATTTAACTGCAGCTCAAAGCTTCAAGGAAGTTAAAAATCGAGAGAGATTCAAGCTTAATTATTAATAACAATCAGATTGTTATAAAAGATTAGAGAATTTTTTGCAATCAGAAATGATTTTTCAATAATAATACATATTATTCACGATGGATTACAGTATTCATATAATAATGTAATTGTAGTAAACATTTGTTAGATTATTATTTATTTTCACTATTATATGCTCTGTCTCTGTCATATTGATTATGATGATGATAATACTTTTGATACGTTTCTTGAGCTCATTTTAACTTTTAATACTTTCATAGGAATGCTTTCCATGCGTTTTTATGCTTTCATTTTCACTTCATCTTCATCTTTTATCCATCATTATCATCTTTCCCATCAGATTAACGAGCATCACAATCATCCTTAACATTTTACCTTTTATAATACCAAGTTAATTAGTATCTTTTGATTCCTTATTTTCTCCTCTTTTTGAGTTGACAACAAAACTTAAGCTTACTTAGTAACAGTCCAAAAAGGCTAAAGTGAAGGAAAATCTTTCATTACCTTTTTATTACTTTTCTAATTACAATTTATCATCATCATTATTCAGTCAGTCTAAATAATACCTTAGTTTCTCAAAACTCAACAGTCAACCGTTTCTTGCTTCTTTAACTCAATTACTTACAATTGACTAGAATAGATTTGGTTACCAGAAACATCTCCATTTTATGTTCAACTCCAATACAACCAAATCCATCTAAAAATGATGATATTCACCATGTAAAGGTAATTTATCAACAATACCAAAAGTCGAGACTGTGTACAGAACTGTATGTAAATATGAGTTATACAAAGGCCTGAAAAATAAGAGAAAAATTTGAAATAATGTAAAATTTGTGTAAAAAATAGTAACAAAGTAAACAAAAATAATCGAAGAGCATAAAAGAATGAAAATAAGGATGAATTTGTTCTCTATTTTTCGAAGTGAAAGGAAAAGCTCGGATAATCACGGATAAATAATGAAATCGAATAGGGAATGAATCAAAGGTGAATCAAAACACAGTTTACATTGTGTTTTGTATTTTTTTCAATAAACCACTTTGTCCATTATTTTGAAAACACCGTTTACATGTAAAATCAAGACTAATGATTTAACTTTCAATTGTATTTCCATAGGTTTACCAGGTACTCCGGGTGAGAGAGGAGCTCCAGGGCCTCCTGGTACACCAGGTATGTATCAAGTAACCAGAAAACTAAAGGTGTAGATGAGAAAAGAAGGAAAACATTACGTTAGATGAGTTATCATTTTTATCCTTGGGCTATCAATATTCAGTATTTCATTTATCATTATTATTTCCATGATTATTAATATCAATCATTTTGCAATGATATTCTCTGTTTCTTCTTTCCAACTCATTTCATTGCAAATCCATTTCGTGTATTGAAGGACTTAGAGGACCTGCAGGTAAAAAAGGTGTTGCTGGTAAACCTGGTGAACCTGGTAAGTTAAACATGGCTTTTGACGTTAATTTGCAACCAAAATTTGTTTGATTTACAGCAATTTTATCCAGCAGCATTTCAATCGCAATTTCAATTGAGATTGAAAATCACAAATGTTGCTATTGTTGATTTGATATTGTTTAAGTCTTTGTTTAAGTTAAAGTTGACTTTCTGATTTATTTGCTTTGTTCCATGTTTTCTCCAAATTCATGATTGATTGATTCCTTATCTTTTCCATTGAATTATTCATTATCTTTTGCTACTGATTTGGAGTTGATTTCGACATGGCGTCCAGAAGTATCATGTTTGTAAAGCTTTGATAATACTTGTTGAGTCTTTGTAAGCTTCAATAGCATTTATCTATTCATTAACAGCATTTATAATTGAGATCCACTCATCATCGATCCTTTAAATGTTTGATTTGATTGATCGTTTATAATTTACATGAATAATTTACAATTTATGAAGTGACTGGTTGTGTTATAGCTGCTCCAGATGAATTTTGTAACCATTGTTTATGTAATTGCTTGATAACAAATTTATATGACTCCTGTTTAACCAAAAATTGAGTCAATGTATCCATTATTTAGACAAATTGATTGATTCAGTTAACGCCAAGCTGTAATCATTAATGCACATTTCTCATAGAATCTGTCACGAAATACAGGGTTAGACATGTAAATCTTTGCCAGCCTCCGAATGAGAAGAAGGCAAAAAGTTTGTAAATGCTTGAAAAGTATTTAAAGATGGGTTACTTTCTTGTCTACAGGACGACCAGGTATTTCAGCTTGGAAAACAGTCTCAGGAAATAATATCACAGATGCTTCCAAAATACTGAGTAAGTATTGACAAAAATAATAATAACATTAATTTATCATGATTGGCAACATTGGTTATTCGGAAAAATGTAATCACCATCCATTCATTTATAATGATATAATCAGTTCCACCAATAATGAATGATGAAGAGTCTCATCCATCATACCGGGTTCGGGAAGGTGATAATGTTGTCATCGAGTGTATAGCCAGTGGTCAACCTCGTCCCATTTATTCTTGGTATAAAAAAGATGGTAAACCAATTAGGCTGAAAAATAATACATGTAAGTTGCACGCTCAAGTGTAATCAACCAATTGATTAATTCACACAATGTTTACTCTTTTGTGTTCACTTTGTAGATGTTGAAGTGTGTGGAGGTAGACTGAATTTAACCAGAGTAAGACGGGAACATTCAGGAACATATGTTTGTTATGCTAATAACGGCATTCCTCCGCAAGTATTCAAACAATACGATATAACAGTTGCATGTAAGTATCATGAGTATCATTCATGTGGATCCTTGTCTACTCATATTTGTCCAAAATTCAAAGGTTAACCACATTAACATGTTAACATTTTCATCAACAGATCAGCCATTAATTACAGTACCAAAAGATGCTATTGCTGCAGAAAATGGTTCGTTTGTTGTACTAGAGTGCCTTGTTGATGCTTTTCCGACAGCCATCCATTATTGGACCTTTAAAGGAGATAAAATATTAACTGATTGGAAAAGGAAAATGTATCAAATTGAAAAATCAGACAACTTAACTCACCTTTTGTTGAACATATCACACGTTGAACCAAATGATTTAGGCGTTTATAAATGTATATCAAAAAATGAAGTCAACACGACTTATGGGATTATTGAGCTTTATGGTAAGTTGACTCTCTAGTTGTAAATAATCTAGTGTTAGTGGTTTTCATAAATTTTATATTAACTGTCACTTGACCTACTGTGAAATAAAATCATCTTAAAACTTCTATTATATAATAATAAAAGAATAAAAATAGACGCTACAAATATAAATAGAGATAATAGAAACATTGTGAAGGAAAAGAGTTATTTCACAGTTGCACAAGTTGTAGTGTTAAAGTCAGCTCAATAGCTTGTTTGTTTTGTAATTTTGGTTATCTATTGATTCTACCTTATTTTTGTGTCCAGCCAATGATTCAATCCGTCACAGAGGTCATGAAGCCCATGAGAAAATTTTTGGAATACCAGAGATTCCACCAGAAGATCCTGAATGTGAAATATGCCAAGAATGTGGTTGTCGACGTAATGAAACTATTAAAGCTGAAGATGTTCATGGATTTGATAAAACGAAATGGATTGGACTAAAACCTAGAAATCAAAGTAAGTTATAAAATTAATTTGAATGAAAAAATAATGTCGAGTAGGAATAATGACACTTTCGAGAACTTATTAGATGAATTGATAACTGTTAAACGGTTTAATAGCGATCCAACAATTGAATCTCAAAATAAAAACACTATGGTTTATGCTGCCATCTCTTGCAAATTCCTGCTAATAGAAGTTTTTATTTTTGACGATTAATTGTGAATTATTTTTTACTTTGAAATGTTAATTTTTTTATTTTCATATTTATTTAGATTGTATTCATGGTGGAAGTGTGATAAAACTTCTGCGAGTTGGTAAACCTTTATTCAACACTGAACGAAATGAAAGCTGGGGCTGTTGGATGCAGGATCCAGTTTCGGTTAGAGATGAAGACAAAGAAAAGTATTGGTTGACAATTGATTTGGAGGAAAAACGTGGATTACTTTATGAATATCCAAATAAAATTGCCTTCCGTTCGGATAACGATGTGACCATTCATAAGCTACGATACAATTTCACTGGTAATTCACAAATAATTTACAACAGTTCCTTTTACTACTACTCGGATCAAATGAAAAAATTGGTGAAATATGATTTGAAGAGTAAAGACTTTGCCTACTTGGAGCACTCTTTCACCCATTCATTCAAGCAACTTTACTCTCTGGCCCATAATCATTTGGATTTAATGGCAGATGAAAATGGTCTTTGGGTTATCTGGCCTAATCCAGAAAACAACAATACTATGGTCATGAAATTTGATGGATCGACAATGAATGTACCTCAAGCTTCATCCATCGAGTCTATATGGAATATTAAACTCGACCATACAACTCGTGGTGAAATGTTTATCATTTGTGGTGTTTTGTATTCAGTAGCCAGCATCTCGGAAACGTATACAACCATTGATGTTGCTTTTGATCTGTACAACAATGTTAACCTTAATGATTATCAAGAACCAATCAAATTCATCAATCCGTTTAAGAAAAATATTATGCTTTCTTACAATTCAAGAAGTCGTAAAATTCATGGCTGGGATAACAACAATTTAATTGAATATCCAATCATGCTTTCACCAGAATGAATAATGGATTGCCGATAACAAAGTAATTTGCATGTTTTGCATCTAATAATTTGACCATTGAATTATGATATTGTATTTTTCATGGTCATGACCAATCTCCAACTCTTTACCCAGACGAGGAAAACAATTGTAAACCTATTTTATGGCACTAAACAAGTGATCTTAATCTGCCACAGCTAATTTCACCAAACAACACCAAATGTTCAACTCGTTACCTTTTATCCATCCAATGTGACAAAAAATGCTATCGAGATGCCAAAGTGATAATACCGTTTACATATTCAATTGCTATTTATATACAAGACTCAATTACATTTTTTGAAATATATTACAAGAAAATGAAAGACAAAACGAAGTCTCTTTTGTTATTGAAAATGAAACTTGTAATTAAACAGATTTTTGCATCGATTCTTATGATAATAGACTGCTGTTTATTGACTTTTACCTCGGCTTTTAAATAAATTAAAATTAATGAAAGATCAGACAGACAGAAAAAACAGAAAAACATTTGAATTGCTAATTACTCATTGTAATATCGATTCTCATCAATTTACCTCTTACCATTAGTAAATGAAGCTTACCAAGCAATGATAATTGTTAATGTAAAGGTTGTCGATTGATCAAGCAATGAAATTTTTATTAATAGTGAACAAATTTTCAGACTTAAAGCCAACATCACTGAATGCCATTCGAGCAATAAAGATAAAAAAGGAAATCGTCAATAATTGACATGAATAAAATTTAAACCTCGACTCACCTCATGACATGAACCCGGGGTAAAGACCCTTTTGGGCTAACTGTAAACAGATTAGGACCATCGGATAATTTCACTCTGGACAAACCTATTAGGCACAAATTTTTAATAAGTTTAAACAAAAAATTCTGTAAAGCGAAATTCTGTGATTAATTTTTCGTTGATTTTTTGTTATGTTCTTAAATTTTTATTCCAATTGTATCAACAACTGAAACAACCTGAGTTGTGTGAAAATTTAACAGTTTTGAAATGAAAAAATGTTCTAATCATTTAGTGTGAGGAAATTATGAGCATGCAATAACGGTCGGTAATACTAGTTTTTGGCATTTTGTAAATGGTTGATTGTTCAGGTCGCTATGAATTCCTTGCAATATTATTATGATTATTATTATTTGAACGAATAATGAGATTCTGTTTTGAAGTTTAGTAAGATCTGAATTAATAGTACGGGTTTTTATAGGTTAATTTGCAGCGATCAAGTCTGATACAACTGGTATGATGTTTGTTTTCAAATTTAAATGAGTAGTTGCTAAGTAAAATGCATTGATCAAATAGAGACGGTAGTCAATTTATTCTTGAAAAAATATTCAAATCAAATTGACAGACTTATTGTCATTTAACCTTCAACTGTTTAATCAGTACGATTTTTGAATCATAGACACCTGATTTTCTGAAGGTATAAAAGCTCCAGTAAAATGTACAGAAAGTATCAGTTGATTTTATCAATAGTAACAAACAAAATGAATTCGCAACTACTAATATTGTGCTTGGTTATCTCTGCATTCACCGCAGTGCAAGAAACCGATGCAAACAGTTTATTTTCCCTAACATCGAAAAGTAAAAATGTCCATCCCGGAATAGAGCTGAATATGGGTGATATGATGAAGAAAATCGGAATCGCTTCTAACTCACACTCCAATTCTGGTCATGGATCATCAACACCCGGTTCAGGAACATCAGCTTCGGAAGCAGCAACATCTGCTACTTCAAACGCGTCATCAACCGGAAGCACTGATGCCAAGAAAAAGTCGAGTCCACCAACATCAACCCACCCTTCAAGCTTAGGAGATTCTGGTTCCAATCAATCTGGCTCAAAAACATCAGCTTCAGGTTCATCATCAACCAATAACTCTGGTAAGCCAGGAAACTCAGCTAACTCAAGTTCAGCAGCAGCAGCAGCATCAGCAGCATCAGCTTCAGATTCATCATCAGGACCAACAAAAACAACAACAACATCAACCAGTAACTCACCTAACTCAGCATCATCAGGATCAGGTTCAGGATCATCAGCAGCAGCTTCATCAGGAGCAGCAGCAGCTTCAGGTTCAGGATCATCTGGCTCAGGTTCATCAGGACAAGGATCTGGTTCATCAGGTTCAGGATCATCTGGTTCAGGTTCATCAGGATCAGCAGCTTCAGGATCAGCAGCATCAAGTTCAGCAGCAGCAGCTTCAGACTTGTGAAGAAAAACTGGTTTTAACCAGGTTGGTTTTGGTGCTACCTTTCCCTACCTCAAGTAGGTAGGGAAAGGCCACAATTGGTTGGTTTTTTTTGGGTCGGCCATCTTATGAGGGAGAAGATTTTCTCCCTCATCCAGCATAAAATGGCCGACAAATCCGTTGTTTAAGCTGTCATCAAGACCCCTGCGGAAGCTCTGTTTGGATGAGACAAAACCTGATTTTTACCAAATGTTAAGTGAAGTTTAAACTGAACTGAAAAATGTATATGTTATAAACATCTAATGTAAAGGTGAACCTTCTTTTAAAAATATGTAACTAAAACCCCATTCCTCTCATAATTTACTCTGTTAATCGGTACTCCTTCAACCATTATATGTACCCCGTTTACCTAACCACTAATCCTTTGTATTAAATTGGAAATGAACCCGTGCTCGACTCTCGATAATATCTGAGATCCACTAGTGATTCGCCACTCTTGCCTCACCAACTGCTGTGAACTGTGTCCATTAATCTATAGATTAAAACTGTGATCAGTGAACAATTCCACGTCTCAGTGGTGAGAAATACATGTACTAATCTCAACATCGGACATCTTTCCGAAATTGGAATCTCAACTTTAGATTGGAACCTTCTCTTTTGAAACTCTTCTTCACCCCTGGATCCCTTTCCTTCAAACCTTGGAATCTCATCATTAAGAGTTAAATTTCTAAACTAAAAGTAATCAGTTTAATCCAACTGGAGTACAATTTGGCACCCGCGCGGGGATCCGAAAAGATTAGTGACGTGGCAAATCAAAGTTAAGTAATCTTCTTTCTTTACAAATCTGATCTAACAGATTTACTCATCTGTATTATATATTAACTGTTCACAACTAAATTAAAAGTAAATCTTGTTTTACTTGACTTGAAATGAGTAAATAAACTCTAGTACATAGTACCATCAACCATTAAAATAAGTTAATGATTTCTGATAGTAATAAATCATTGGAATATGAGATAAAACCAAGTAAGACAAGGGTATTAAAAGTACAATAGATATGTTATACTAAGAGAAATAAGTATTGTTCAAGATTTAAATAGCAGGATAACTACAGTAATAAATTAGTAACTTCAAATTAAATTGAAATTCCTTTAATGAAGAATACAAAAAACCCGGTGAATGGGTATTACAGCATTCAAACATGAGTGAATGAATGACCTTATTACAGAAACTATTGTGCATACAAGAACGAAAGATTACAAAACTTGAATAAATGACACATATAAAATAAATAACGACCTAAATAGGAGTTAGATTTAAACTAAGGAGTGCATCACCTAAATAAGTTAACCTCAATAACCAGACTGAAATAGGAAGTTATTAAATGAATCCAAACAACAGATTAATGGACCAATTATAATTGAATCTAATTAACTAATCAATGAACTGACTTGAATAAATACTGAACTGAAATAAAAGATTATTAAACTAAATTAGCTGATATAATCAACTAAATGAATTACTAAAACTGATTGTAAGGAATTAATGATAAATCTACCCTGAATTAAAGAATAACAGAATTAAATTGATAAATATTTGAAATGAATTAAAGATTATGATTAAAGGAATTACAAGAATAATTAACTGATTAAAGTAAACTGAATTAACTGATTAAAGTAAACTTAATTAACTGATTAAAGTAAACTGAATTAACTGATTAAAGTAAACTGAATTAACTGATTAAAGTAAACTGAATTAACTGATTAAAGTAAACTGAATTAACTGATTAAAGTAAACTGAATTAACTGATTAAAGTAAACTGAATTAACTGATTAAAGTAAACTTAATTAACTGATTAAAGTAAACTGAATTAACTGATTAAAGTAAACTGAATTAACTGATTAAAGTAAACTGAATTAACTGATTAAAGTAAACTGAATTAACTGATTAAAGTAAACTGAATTAACTGATTAAAGTGAACTGAATAAATTGATTAATTGAACTTAATTAACTGATTAAAGTAAACTTAATTAACTGATTAAAGTAAACTGAATTAACTGATGAAAGTAAACTGAATTAACTGATTAAAGTGAACTGAATAAATTGATTAATTGAACTTAATTAACTGATTAAAGTAAACTTAATTAACTGATTAAAGTGAACTGAATTAATTAATTAACCTGAATCTAATTAACTGGTTAAGCTGATGATAAGCCCAACTACAATAACATTTTTTATTGATAGTGAAATAGTTATTCAAGTATTTTTACCCTTAAGCATATTATTAATAGTTTTGTACTACTCAATGATCATTATTGCATTAGAATCGAATTGAAACCCGGTGATTGGGTGCGTTGTTTATCACTCGGTGATGAGTGAAAGGTAAAATGTGTAAAACCTTTTGTTGTTTTATCATTTTAGTCTTTTGGATTTTAGTAGGAATTATAGTATGGAGGACAAAATATATGAAATCCAATTGAATTCGTATAGCTCATTAGAAGATTCAGAAGCTGAAGAAAATCATTTGACTTTTACAATTAATGAATCGAGTATTAACGTAATAGTTTTAATTATTTTAAGCTTACCAATCTTAGTACTTATTTACAAAATATTTGCTGACATTTACTATATGTACACAGTTTATCATCAGCCAGCTTAAATAAAAATTAAATTAAGATGTCAGCAAACGAAGAAACGAAAGTAAGCACTATGACTAAAAAGTCAAAAGAACGTCAACCAGTTAATCAATTTATTCACATAAGTAACTTCTCTGGAGATGATGAAGGAGAAGATCTACTTGAATGGTTAGAGTCATTCGAAGCTTCTGCTGCTGCCTTAGAATGGGATGATGAAACAAAATTAAAAGCTCTTCCAGCTTACTTAACTGGAACCGCCGCAAAGTGGTATAGATGCTGCATTAAAACTCTTGAGGAAAAAGAGAAACCTGACACGTTTGCTAAATTGCAAGCAAAAATGGTTAAAGGGTTAGCCCCTTCCAATTACAGAAATAGTTTGATGAGGGAACTAAATGAGAAAAGGCAACAGCCTGGTCAGTCAGCTTTTGCTTATGCTTACGATATTAGAGACTTATGTCGAAAAATAAATCCAAAAATGGATGAAAATTTAGTTCATAGTTTTATCCATAGAGGATTAAATCCAGCAGTCAAGACTCGAATGGACTTATTATCAACTAATAATGATTTAGATTTTGACACTAGATTGTCCCA